CTGAAGATGGCCTTGCCATTCCAGGCAGAGAGGTTGTGGATCCACCAGGTAAATTTGTCCCAAGTTTCCGAGTCCAGAGAGACCATGTCCGTATAGGACATCCCACTGTGAGGGTGTGCAATCTTCAGACGTTGGAGGGTACGGTAGTGGAAAGGAGCTGGGAACACCACCTGGACTGATGAAGCCAGTAGGCCAATGGTCCGTGCCAGGTGACGCAGCGAGAGCTGGGGCGCATTTGAGCGCAGCGTAATTCCTTGTGGATGGACCTACTTTGGACTGAGGGAGTTATTCCACTGAGTGATTCCACTTCGGAGTCTACGGTGAACCCGAGGAACTCCATGCGTTGCGAAAGGGACAGGCAGGATTTTTCCCAGTTGAGGAGGAAAAAACTCATGCGAGAGAGGAGATCCATTGTCCATTGCAGGTGCTTAGGAGGACCGAACCTGTGTCCTGATGAGGCTGTTGTTAGGTAGACTATCAGCCGAAATCCTTGAGTGCACAATCAAGCCATGGCAGGGCGCATCAATTTGTGAAGCACCAAGGAACTGACGAGAGTCCAAAAGGGAGGCATGTTAAGCGCCAGGTGTTGCTTTTCCAGAGGAAGCGTAATAAGTCCCTGGACGTCTCATTCACTGGGACCATTAACTATGCGTCCTCAAGGTCTAACTTTGCCATCCAATCTCCCCAAAGAAGTGAGTCCCGCAGGAGATGAATGCCCTCCATCTTGAAGTGGCGGTAGCGCACCAAAGTGATTAGGGCCCAGAGGTTGATAACTGGATGCATCTGCCCACTCTTATTTTCTATTAGGAAAATGCAGCTGAGAACCCCGGTAGGGTATATGGGGGCTAATTCTATTGCCCCATTCACGTGGCGGGCCGATAGTTCCACGTCTATAAAGGCGCAGTCGGTCACGTAGAGCGAAATAGGGGAGGAGGGGGAGTGTCGACCAACTCAATTTGAAATTCCTGAACGGTGGGCAGGACCCAGACATCGAGGTTGATGGTTGACCAGGATTGGGAAAAAATTACAGAGCCTGCCCCCTACACCACTATTGGAAAAAACATGGGGTAGATGTAAGCTCAGCGTAAGGGCGTCTGGAACCAGAGTTCCCTCTGAAGCCTCTGGAGTGCCATGGTCTTCCACAAGAGGGGAAAAAGGGGGCCTGGTGTCTCGACTCCAGGTAGGGTGGTCTCTGGGTGTAGGAGCCTCGACTCGATTCACGGGTGTAGTAACTGGAATCTGCCGGCCCAGGTACAGACCCGTCCCTGAAATACCCTCTTTCATAGAGGATTTGGCCTTATCCGGGGCTGTAAAAACACCCACAAAGCGCCCCAGGTCCTTTATAAAGGAGTCCCCGAATAACAGGCCTTGAGCATCCTTGCCCACCTCGGTGAGGGTGAGGTTGGCGAGTTTAGGCTCTATTTTGAAAAGAAATGGCTTTACTCCGTTATATGGACACGGAGGTGACAACACAGCCCGCTATGCAGATTGCCCTCTGCACCCAGCCAGGGAGTTCCTCCGGGTCAACCTGCCTGTTTTTGGCTCTGGCGATTACAGCCAGGTCAAATAGTTTGGCCAAAGGACCAAATATGTCCAGGTGTATATCCTGGCACGATGTAAGTGCCAGATCTAAACCCTTGCGGGGATACCATCCCAACTTCGAGAGGAATTGGGTCCTCTTAGGATCGACAATAGGGTTCTCACAGAATTAGCTGGGCACTAGAGGTCTAGGACATTTTTCCAGGTATAGTGTCACATGGTCCGCAGGGAGCCATTTTGCCGACCTCGGATGATGGAGAACATCTGGGTCAAACATGGGTCCCCAGACGGATCCATGAGGGTGGAGCCCGCAGTAGCGGGGGAGTCGCTCCGAAAGCCACTCACTACCATTCCCGATTGAGCGGGGACAAAAGGGTCAGGGTCCTGCCCGCATACCTCATCGTCAGAGTCACACACAGACTCGGCATCAGCCTCCTCACTAGACCCGATTTCCAAGTCGGAGTCGCTCTCTTTTTGTGCTCTAGCACATTTTCATTGCCGCGCCCGTTCTGCCTGGTTCAGGAAGGCTCATTTGCGTGACATGGGCACGCTATCATGGGTCATATTGGTTCTGGAGGCAGGGGGACTTAAGTGCCTGGATTTGGCGGTAGCCTTTTTAGGTGTATCCCCTGTAAGGCTTGGAGCGGGACGCGCAAAGCGCATCAGTGTGGCCGAACCTTCTATGGCTAAAGGGTGCACAAGTAAGGCCTGTGATATGGTCTGGGAGAGGGCAGAGGACATGGAGCCCATAGTGGCCATAATGGTATCCGAAACTGAGTGCTGTAGCGCCAGGGACTGGGCTTCATCAGGCATAGACATAGGGTCCACTACAAAAGAAGGGGAATTAGAGCTGGAAGAGGGGCTACCCAAAACTTGGGGCATGTCCATCTCCCCACAGGAAAAAGGGACTGTCAGGCACTTTGGATTTGGGCATTGTAATGCTGTGAGATTTCCCCTTTAACTACAAATATATATGAAGTACTCTAAGGAGTGAAAAATAAAAAATAAAATGACAGAACAGACTAGCAGGAGTTAATCACCCCAGACTAGATATACCTTTAAAAGGGTAGAGATAGGGAGCTCACCAGTGTCCAGATAGGAAGAAAAACATGAGGCAGAGCAAAGAGCCAGAAGGACATGATGTAAGAAAATGGGCGCCAGCAATCTAGCGAGATTCGCGGCAAAAAATCCTGTGAATTCGACAAATTAAAGAGCCCAACATTTGTCAAAAAATAGACGAATTTGTGTAAACAAATAGACAAATGGAATGAAAAGAGAAACAGACGAACGAGCAGACCGTTCGTATAAAATTAGTCAAACGCGGCAAACAGAAAGATGCTATATGCTGGTAAAACTAACAAACGACATGGTTTCATGATGAATTTAGCCGAACAGGCTTGATTCATTCACTAAAAACAGCCGAACAGGTAGGAGAAACAGGCGCAAAAGGGCGGCAAAAAGACAGGGAGAAGGAGCAATGGAGCCACAGACAGCAAGAAGGAGATAAGGCAAATGGAGAAAAGATAAGAGCAACAAAAGAAAGCTCAAGGGAGACGGATAAAAATAGTAATACCCTAAAGAAGGTCTGGAACCCTGGGCTCAAAGGTGACAAACAAATGCATAATACACAATAACCATAGAAGAAATAAATAGAAGAACACATTTGTAATAATATGTAGAAAATAAAGCAATAAAATACTAACAATAAAATAATAAATAGCATTAATAATAATTAATGATAATTAAGAAACATATATATGGAAGAGAAAATTTGTCATGTACTTATCTTGTTTGGTAGCAGAAAAGAAAGAGGAAATATGTGGCGACTATTATACTGGGACTTAGTATGGGAGTGGTCTATCACTATGGTTACCATTTTTTCTGTTTGTATTCTTTGCTGCTATTGGTGGACAGTAAAGAAAGGGTTAAGCAATATGAGCCCCCGTGTTTTGACATAAAATCTTTTTTTTTTTAATTTAAATTCCAGCAACTAGAATGCATAGACAACATGCATCGTGAAGATCAATTACAGACACAGGCAATGAGAACTAAGGTATTATTGCAGATCTGGCCATCCCACTTTTACCTTGTTATACTAAAAACAACTCCAAGATATTTTAATATGCATGATTACTTTACGAAACAAAGTATCTTAAACAGATTGTCTTTTAAGGTGAAATATGTATGGAAAGAGTGGGTAACCTAAAGGTTGATGCTTTTTACTGGATTTATATAAAAAATTACTTAATTCCAAATACATATTGCAGATTTAAACATTCAGCATCCACACAGTAAATAAATGACATTTATTTTGGAACTTTATGTGAAATATAGGTCTGCAAAGCAGGTTAGATGAGACAGAGGAAGTTATGTTTTATACAGTTTGAAATAAGATTTTTCTGTACGGTTTAGGGTAATCTCAGGACATCAATAATATCTAGAAGAAGCTTAACAAAAAGGAAAAAAAATAGAATATAAAAAAAAACTTGAATGCCCAAGAATCACAGTTTAATGTAACACGACTAACATACTTCAACTTGCTAAAGTTTTTTTTTAAGTGTGAAGAATATGTCCTCTTTTCATTTTATAAAGTGTCAATTTCAAAAGAACATGGCACTTTTAGAAATTAATATTGTTACACCTCCCTGGCTGTCAGACAGCCGGTCCATGGAGCTAAACTCAAGGCAGCTGCCCAGAGCTGTAACATAGTTCATTATAAGGTCTTTGGTTGGACAGCCAGACTACGTCTGTGCTGGGGAAGATAGGGAGGGCTTATATAGCTGTGGATCTTCAGCTATTGCAAGTGAAGATTTAATTTCCCCCCCAAAGAAAAGAAGCAAACAATTTACATGCATATTTTCTCCGGGGTTACATAGTAATCTGGAAAAAAGGCTTAAGTTCATTGAGTTCAACCTTCAAACACATCACTGTCTGCTGTTGATCCAAAAGAAGGCTTATAAACCCAATAAAAGCCAATTTGAAATGATGACCAATTATGCCACAAAAAGGGGGGAAAATCCTTCTGGACTTCATAATGCCAGATGCTACTATCAGATTTCTACTCGGATCAATACCTTGTTCATATACGTGTTAATTCTACCATTGAATAGTCTGTTTTTCCAAAGAAAATCACTCAGGCCTTTCTAAAATATATTTACAGAATTTGATAAAACATTTTTTCTTTTTTGCCATTCTTTATTTTTGTTGTATGATTGAGTACAGACAAGCCAAACATACTCAAAAAAACAAACAAACAAAAAAAAAATAATGGAATTGCACTCGGTGTTTACATGTCATACTAAGCTTAATGAGACGAGAAAAGATATAATAAAAAGTAACAACAGGTCAACAGAATAATACAAAAAAATGGCTTTAGAGATCTCAGGGACAACTCTTATAATGGTGGAACCTTCTGATATCATACTCAGCACGCAGTAGACAAATCAACTAATCAGAAAGTCCGACAGGAAGAGCAGCATTCAGGTGCTGAGGTAGGGCATCCTTCCAACCCTAGGCCTGTTCAAGGGCCAGCAACTCCTTTCCATTGACTCTGGGATTCAAAGCCGAGTCCTTCCCAGGGAGCAGGAGTCCATGTCTTACGAGTGTCATACTATTGCTGGCATGGTGGATGGTGGGTTCAAGTCCCAGGTGGCCCTCAGCCTAGGTGGGGATGTGAGTTATCAGAAGCTTGTCAGCATATTGCACCTGGAGGGGCATCAACTGACTTTCGGATTTTGTCTTGCCAGATCAGGTCCTTATGAAGGAGAGGTGAAACTGCCGATTGCTCCTCCAGCTTTGCCCAAAAGCTTGTGAAAAGTGCTTCCAATTTCAGCAGAGAGCTTTTAGTGGAGTCGCTAAGAACTCTGCACATCGCGATTGGAGTCAGCGCCACCGGAGAAGTCCCGTCTACCATGTTTGATTCTATTACTGTGTGCAGGCAAACCTAGCATGCCGTCTTCAATAGTCAATGGATTAAGGTGAAATAGTCCAGCCAGGACCAGAATAACCCCCATCACTACAAAGAGGAGGGTAGCAGCAATACAGTTCAGCACTAAGTCAAGAGAGTGACAATATCGTCCGCCTTCGCCCAGCCGCTTTAACTATAATTCCTTCAGCAATTCCTGAATATGGAACAGAGCCAGCACTGGGTACAAGTATGAAGTGCATTCCTTTTCTTTACCAAATAATAAGAATTTTTAGCTGCAGCCTAGTGGTATTATTATAATTTTTTTTCTATTTGATAATGACATCTCCCCATGAATATTCCCTTGTAATATGAGCTCCCTTTTCTATACAGCCCCTTATCATCCATTTCATGCCTTGACCTCTAGATACAGTACTAACCAACGAAGCAAGCCCTCGGTTCTTCTGCGCATGTATGCACAGTATATATTACTTAATGTGATGCTTCCTATATGTCAACCTGCACTTGTCCCTGGTATGTGGTAACGTACCAGTAGAATTACACAGCAGTCCTTTAATTTTCCAGAGGCATTAAACGGGAAAAATCACAGAACTAACAGTCTCAACAGCATACAGAATTTTGAGTGCCAGAAATGGTAACTTATGCCAAGGGTGGATAATTTGTTGTTGCACTATATAATATTGCTATTAACATGATTTGTGTAGTGCATACATTATCATTATTGGTATTTATATAGCTCCAGATTATGCCACAGCGCTTTACAATAAGAGTGGAATTTACCAAATGAGACAATAACAAAATGTAACAGGAAAAATAGGTAGTTGAGGACCCTGCTCAAACGAGCTTACAGTCTAGAGGAGGTGGGGTATAAAAACACACTAGTAAGGGTATTGGGGGAGACAGCAAATAGACATGGTGGGAAAGTAGCAGAACTGGAGGTGAGAGTGTGTTCCTTTAAGGGAGAGCAAGAGGAAGGTTTGAGAGGTAGAAGTTACTCTTGGAGGCCATAAGCATTCCTGAAAAGATGGGTTTTGAGAGACTTCTTAAAGAATTAACTAGGGGAGAGTCTGACAGGGGTATGCAGGCTGTTCCAAAGGAAAGGAGCCACCCGCGAGAAGTTTTGCAGGCGTGAATTTGCTAGTAAGGGTGCAAGCAGAGACAGAGAGGGGGCATGCCTATGTATCAGAGAAGAAATGGAAGAGGGGCTAAAGCTTTATAGGTATTTTAAATTGACACCTGTAGGGTACAGGAAGCCAGTGTAAGGATCGATAGAGGGGTGCAGAGTGAGAGGAGCGACAGAAGAGAAAGATCAGCCTGGCAGCAGCATTCACCACAACCAGCTAATCTACCATATGTCTATAACCCTTAGATGGTGGAGTCTTGATATGCTAATGACCATTAGCATTAAAGAAAACCATTGTCTTATCCAAGAGAAACATTTTGTGCATATATTTATAAAGGGGAAAACAAACCCTACAAAAAGAGTATAAATATGGTTAGCACAGATTAAGCCACTTGGAAGGAATTGTGAAGTCCGCTATATTAGATCATAAGTAATGTGACATGTATATATATACATAGCTGCAATAATGAATTCTGTGGCAAGCAGAAGAGAGGAGATGAAGTCAAAAGTTTCCACTTAGATTGATGTTGGTCTGAAACAAAAGTTGTTCCTATAGGTACGCGTTCCCCTCCACCTATACCACTTTTGGGTCAGCTTGGAAACCGGAGATGAATACAGGAGGTACACAGCAAATTGTTATGTAAAGGTTTAGTGTGCTTACTAGCGACCAAGATCTAATTTTGAGTAAGATGCCATCTTTCCTTGCCAGTGAACACCCGGGCAAGTTACTTTACCATCTAAGTGAGTAGTTAGGTTTTCTGTGCATTTCTCCTTTTCATTTTTAAAATTGTTGTTGGTGTAAATAATTTATCATATTTTTTTTTTTAAATGCACTGTGACTATTGTTTGTTCATAATAAAAGAATCCTTTAATAAGTTCCGCCTTTGCCTGGTAAAGACTGACGTTACCTGATGAGATCAATTTATTGGTAATAGACATGGTGTTAAATCATTGTGTTAAATCATGGGTTTTAATCTAATTTATAAATTGTCTTGGTGTTGGCAGCGTTATAAAATATTACGTTTTAAGTTGTTATAATTAAGCATGGGTAGTGTTAAGGGAGAGATTTTTTTCATCATTATTTCCGGTCTAGTAAAGACAAATAGTGAATTTTTACCATTTCATCACCAAAACCAAGTCACGCGCACGATTAGAGTAGGGTGCGTTTATGACAAATCACATTATGACATTTACTTTCACTTTCATTAGATCCCATACTCTACTCCATCATATGCAACCAAACAAAATAAAAGAAATACCATATAAAGGGCTGTACATGTTCAAAGTTTATTGTTTCACAGAATCCAGGGGAGAGGTTATTTACTTATAATTCGAATATCTTTGGTCCCCTGTAGCGGCTCCTGTGTTAACCTCTTGAGAGTCAAAGACTTTGCCATAAATGCTTGCCTGACCTCAATTCACTCAAGGGGTTAAGAAGAACACAAACATTCTCCATCTCATGGAAACTCAGATTTTTGTTGTTTTTTTATTTATACTTTTTTTTGTTACTTTCCAGTTAAAAACATAACATAAAAACACAGTCACACATTTAAACATTATTTTACGCAATATTTTAAAATGAATCAAAAAAAAAAAAAAAATAATATATATACTGATAATGTAAAACAAAACAAAGAAGGAGGTAAATAGTACTGATTAAAACAAAAAAAAATGTCAAAAACAAAAATAGACAGGTCACATTGTTTTTCTTCGTCGTTACCGATAGTGCATGGTTAGGTCTCGCCTTCATTCATGTGCTTAAGGAGTCTGTCTGTCCTAGAGTATGTTACGCTCAGCCAAATATAACCACTAAGTCTTTTTTTTTTTTTTTTTTGTCAGGAGGGCCTTCCTGATTATTGCAATACAAGCCGAAGACCCCTCTGAAAGCAAATCATTAACAGAAAAAAAAGGTTATTCTGACCCCAAAGATTTAGGAAAAACGATATTTAACTTTGGAGTCATTGTCCTACTGCTGGCACCCACTGAAACCTAGAAGGGGCAGCTTTTCCCTAATCCAGCAGCTGTTAACCCAAGACTTTCTATTAATCCTGTACAGGCTGCTGTAACACATTAGATGCTAACCAGCTGGATGGAAAGAGGTGGGGGGAGGAGGGGACATTTTTCACAGTCACTGCATTCCAGATGTCAGCCTACAACTGGGTCGACTCAAACACACAAATCTCAAATGCAATGTAAACTAAGGGCAAAAGGCAGTTCTCACAGTACAATGCAGACAAAATATTTCAGGACAAGAAGGCCAACACATCACCAAGCGCTAGCACACAAATGCCAATCAAATGTTAAACGTTGAAATCCAAAATGATTTTACACTGAATTTCACATTTTTGTCCAAAATGAAAACATGGGTTACATTTGAAATTCACTATGACTTTCCAACAATTTCCATTTTAGTGACAAGTTGGTTGTGAGTTCTGTGCCAGAACTTGGCGAAATCTTTAGACATGTTCAGCTATCCCTATTCCAGATGACATAGATGCTGCCGATTCTGTAATATTGTGATGTGTTCTGCTTTTCTAGCAGCCTAAAATATACGCCGGTTTGTGTTAGCAATGCAATATTGAGTTTAGGACTTTTAAAGGTTCAAAAAGTAAAAAAAAAAAAAAAATAATAATAAAACTTAATTTTGCAGCAAAGTTGATTATTATTAACAAAAACAAAATCAAACGAAAATATAGGGTTTTATAGCCTATCAAAGAGGGTTCTGCATCACTACCGACTATTTGTATTATTTTTAACAAAGTATGGGAAGGAGTGCAAAGGCACTCTAAACATTTAGTGCAAGAAGTGATGCATTAAAATAATAATCATAATAAAAAAAAAAAAATTAAACGGATCTAGACAAAGGTCTAAATGCTTATTCTGGAATGTATAGTTTAGGCATTCAAGAAGAAAACTGGACTGAATGCGCCAGAAGAATTGCCAGTTAAACAAAGTACCATGGTCCAGTTCTTATATTCCAAATGACAGCATGCTACATACACTTAATGAAAAAAATTAACAAAAAGCAGTGACTGCTCCAAATCAAATGCTAACAGCCACCCAGTGGAACCACCACCAGAAAAGATGTCCCACATGATCAAGTGATTATGGCATAAGAATAGAACTGTCTGATGGTTGTGTCATCATATTCATATACACAAAGATGCCAGTACCAGGGCCTTCTTAACATCTTCTCCAATTATTTTAATCTCTTCCAAACTAAAAAAACTGGGTTATCATAATAAAATTTAAAAAAAAAAAATATATATCCACACTAAAATATACTCCTAAAGTGCCTTCTGTATGCAATGACACTCAAAGCCTGCACAAACACGCATATAGCAGCGGTCTATGGGTACCAGAACGTACAGTATTGCTCAGTTAATGCAGACATCGTATAGTCCGACAGCAGAGATAACATAATAGGAAAAGATGCAAAGTGTCAGTCATGGCACGAAATACAAACATGGTCATTTTGTTTCCAGCAATTCCATGTAAGCTAGTTACACTATTCATATGGAATTATTTTTAACACGTGCAAGATGCAGCAAAAGTATCTGCCAGAAATCTCAGATGCCACACATGGGATGGAAACATAAATACAAAAGTAAAAAAATGGGGATAAAAAAAAAAAAAACTGTTCAGGTAGAAATAGTGTCTTCTCTGGACTGTGAGCTCCAGCTTATTCCACGGTCACGGATTTGGCCAGGTTTCTTGGACAATCCACCTGATGAAGAGAGGACACAACATAAAAATAGTTTAACGTTTTGCTTTAGTAGTAGTGAAAAGGGGAATAAAACAGAAAGAAAAAAAAAAGGCATGTAAAGGAGGGAAATGCAAGGGTCTTCACAGCAAGCTAACAACTAAAGTGAAGTCATAAGATCTGAGCAAAAAAAAAAACAACTACTGATATTAGGCCTATATTTTGCCCTAATCAAGGTTATTTGTGCAAAACTTTACTTACATGTTCAAGAAAAGTAAAAAAACGTTATATTAATTTGTACTGCAAATAAAAATGTGAATTTTAATAATTAGCTGGTTGTTAAAATGTATGCAGCATTGCTACTTCTAACATGGTGGCAACATGTGAATAGGGAAATATAGACTGCAACTTATCAAAGGAAGGCAAACGTGGGGAAACTTACATCATATCCCCTCAGTACAGCAAGATGGAAGGCCAGGAGCTGGAGAGGAATAACACTCAGGATTCCCTGTAGACAGTCCACTGTGTGTGGCACCTTAATAGTGCGTTTAATGGTGTTGATAGTTTCTGTGTCTTCTTTGTCACAGATCACCACAGGGCGACCCTGGAGAAAAAGCAAAGAGCATGATTTTCACAGAGAAATGTAAGCAAGACACAATACAAACAGGCCAGACACAAGAGACGCAAGAACAAGACACACATAATGCGGAGAAATATGTCAGCATGTCCTTCACGCTGCTGTTGGACTACCTTATTATCATTTAATCTGGGTGTTCAGGAGTTGTAGACAAACAGCACAGACACAGATTGCTAGTTGTGTACTGGAGATAAGGAGAGTGGAAAATTCATGAACAGATTTTCTTAGCATTAACAGTAGCATGGACAGCCAGAGCAATATAAAACATACTGAAATTATGCATGAGTGGTAAGTACAGGATGCAAAATCAAAAGTCTATCATTAATCTAGATTTTACCTGTCGGGCTACCACTTGCTGCAAAGCATTCTGGCACTTGGTGTAGGCATGATCTCGCATGATGATCATAATGACTGGCATAAGTTTGTCCACCAGGGCCAGTGGGCCATGCTTCAACTCCCCTGCCAAGATGCCCTCTGAATGCATGTAAGTGATCTCTTTGATTTTCTGGAGAAAAAAAAAAAGGTTACAAATAAATAAATTAATAAATAAATAAAATACTGTTAGCAACCAGGGTGCCCGGTGAAAAGTCAATGAGAAATAAGACCTGGATTTAAACGTTTCAACGTCTGCGTCTATAATTTACATTTATTGGCAGTTGTGTATTATATCATCTTAATAAAGAAGAACAATCAGACATTGTTGAAGACCAAAAATGGGCCTGTAATTGTTTGAATAAAATTTTTGGTCACTTCAGCCATACTCAGATTAATAAATATAGTAAAAGTAACAATAACCATTTTTTTGTATATTTGGCACCTAATCAGCTCCTGAATTAACACCCTTTGCAGCACATGGAGCCAATATAAATGTCAGGAAATTCATCTTCTGAGAAGCATTAAAAACATTGATTCAAGAGATGTTAACATAATTTGGGAGAGGGAACTTGCATGCCGGTAACAGAATCAAAAATATTAAGGGTTGGCCAAGCAAGGTATGGCCATATTGGGTCACTAAGAATTAATTTGGTTTGCCTGGGACAGGTTGCATTGTTTAAACTAACAGGGTTATTCACTAAGTGGAAAATATTCACAAATTAAATTAAAATGGAAAAGCAGAGGCAAAGAAAAACCTGGCCTGAGCTCTAACTAGCCATATTTACAAACTTGCCCATTTTTAATACAGTTTGTCAATCTTGATTTAATTTGAAAAGAAAAAAAAAAAAAAAAATATCGAAATCTACTAAATAACCCGGTTTATGTTTTGTCTTTATGGTTTAATAGTATTACAAAATATGCACAGATTAATGTGCACCGCATTTAAAGCAGTTGTGATGCATCTAAGGAAAATGTTGAGTGTTACAGGCCACTGATAATGGCTCAAGCAAAAAAACAATACATTTAACCCTTTATAACCGATTATATTTTATGCCATTATCTCAATGACTACAGGTTTGTATTCCTAATGATATAGTGTTCCTTTAAGGTGTTAAATAATTTGATTAAAGAAATAAACTAAAAGACACTGGGATGCACCAAACACCAAAATAAGAAAGGGTCAATTAGAACATAGTGTAATAAGACTTCTCTTATTAGTGGAAACATAGTCCTGTAACAGCAATTGTAGAGGTGGCAGTGGAAATAAAAAATAAAATAAAAAGAAATACAAGCAAAAACCCTCCTCTTTTCTTACCAAAGCTCCTTCCAGGCAGGTTGCATAGTGATATCCACGACCCATAATCAGCACCGATTTCTGCTGATAGAGTTCTTCTGCCAGCTTCTGAATCTCATCGTCCAGACTCAGCACCTCCTTAATGTTGTCTGCAGCAGAAGAGAAGCATAATGTTACCATTAACCAAACGAAGAGGAGCCACTGGTTAAAGGAGTGCAAGATTGGGTGGGACCAATACACATGGATTCCCATTAAACCATTGTTTATTATATTATTCAATTATTATGATAAGATTATTCGTTCTAAGGTTAAAGAGAATAGTTGCATTGAGAAATGGTCTGTCTCACACATGCACAGGGGTGCAGAGCATATCCTACATTGCCAAAATAAGTCTCTTACCGGGTAAGACCTTCAGACCCTGCATAATTTGTTTGCGTCGGCCCTGCATGGATATGCGGTCATCACACACCAGTAATGCAAACATCACCAGAGCTACAAACTGGCTTGTGTATGCCTAGACAGATGGAAGAGAAAACCGTGATCAGCATCATTAATGTTAATACAGAACAAAATGCATTAAATCAGAAAAAAGAGAACACTAAACACACAAAGAGATAAAAAAAAAAGACTCACTTTGGTGCTCGCCACACCAATCTCAGGCCCTGCATTGATATGGACCCCGCAGTCTGTCTCCCGAGAGATGGAGCTTCCCACGGTATTTGTAATTCCTACGGTCAGAGCACCCCTCTCTTTGCAGTACCTTAAGGCAAGCAGTGTGTCGGCTGTCTCCCCTGTAAGAGAATTAGAGTAGAGTAATTAGTTGTAGCATAAAAGATCCTAAATTCACACCTACATATGAAACCGCTCTGTATATTTCCCTAGGCATCCCTCAACTACAAAGGTAATGAACATTAATGGAGCAGTAGTGTTGTAAATAAGAACTTCTAAGGGACACTGCACGAAGAAATTACCACAGCCTTTTGTTTATGTTATTGTATACATTCTAGAAATCATACATTTGTTTTTGTTTGTTTGTTTTGTTTACATCAGAAACATGCAAGCACATCTTAGGGCTCTTATTGAATCCCAGTGACATCCTCAATACTGAACTGGAGATCTCTCTGCCAATTCTGGTCTTCATAGGTTTCTATGGGAGGGCTGCATTGTCACAAATCTACTTTCGGAATCTTACAGAAGTACATGCTTGTGGAAAGCAATGAAAGAACGATTTCCACAAGTTAATGGAAGCTGTCAGTGGCAATGCACAAGAGCATGTATTTATCCTTTTCAATTCAATGTGAAGTCACTATATATTGCAAGACTGTGCTTCTCATTGATTTTAACAAGGCAGAATCCTGGATTGTCTCACCTGACTGGCTGATGAAGAAGCATACATCATCTCTGAAAACTGGTGTTTTCCTGTCCAAAAAGTCACTAGCAAGTTCCACCATGACTGGCAGCTCCGTTAGTTCTTCCAAAATCTGGCGCGTCTGCAAGGAAAAAGACAGCGTTGCCATCAGTCGAGAAACAGAACAAATAATTCAGTTGAAGTACCAGTAATTTCTGAAATTCATTGATTTTGTCATGTCAAATCACTAGCATAAAAAAAAAAAAAAAAAAAAAAAAAAAAAAAAAAAAAAAAAAAAAAAAAAAAAATACTAACAAATTAATAAAAATGTGGAAGACACAGACAAATGGACTAGAATTATTATGCAACCTTATCAATGATACTAAAAGTATCTGTGTGATAATAGGGAGAAAAAAAAAAAAACCACACAATCTTGACCATTTATACATATTATCTTTTGTGTGTGTGAGAGCTATTGGATTGCAAGGTTTTAAAAATCACATAAGAAAGTATATATAAATCTTGATTCCGTTGAAAATACTTTATTCTGCAAATACAATGCTCTAGGGGGATGAAGGGGTTAAATGCTTACCTTTCTCCAGCACCGGGCTCCCTCAGCGCTGGGGACTCTCCTCCTCCTTCGGACGTCATTGGCTGAATATGCATGCGCGGCAAGAGCCGCGCACGCATTCAGCCAGTCCATAGGAAAGCATTCTCAATGCTTTCCTATGGACGCTGGCGTCTTCTCACTGTGAAAATCACAGTGAGAAGCATCTCTAGCGGCTGTCAATGAGACAGCCACTAGAGGCGGGATTAACCCTAATGTAAACATAGCAGTTTCTAAGAAACTGCTATGTTTACAGCAGGCAGGGTTAACCCTAGATGGACCTGGCACCCAGACCACTTCATTAAGCTGAAGTGATCTGGGTGCCTATAGTGGTCCTTTAAGAATAGATTGTCCAGCTGAATAAATCAGTGCAGGGTGCAAGCTAGCTGCAAAAAAGGAGGGGGCTGCCAAACACAGATTTTTAACGAGAATAAGTGCAAATTACACTGAGCAGGGTTTATTCAACCTGGGAAATATAATGGATATGGATTGAATCACTGCATTCCTATGTGATCAGTGCCACTAATGCCTACTCGGTGCCCTGGAAGCACCCCTAGTGGCTGTCAGTAAGATTGCAATTAGGGTTGGATTTAACCCGGCAAAGTAAACATTACAGTTTCTTTAAAAAAAAAAAACTGCAATGTTTTTACCCAAAAGTTCCTTGGGTGACTTAAAATTTTGTAAAAATGTAAATTGATATAAAGCATGTATTCATAGACTGGATAATACAAATAATGGTGTTTCTACAAATAGCATTCAATACTTACAGCAACCCCTGCATGATAACTTGTTCCACAAGCAATAAGAATCAAACGCCGACATCTTTGGATTTCTTTCAGATGATCCTTCAGTCCTCCCAAATTCACTGTAAATTGCAAGATAAACACCATAATAGAAAAGTTAGTCAAGTGCTGCTAAAGATAAGAAAAAGCTGCAGCATATCTCAAAGTAGGGATGCACCGAAATTCCAGCAGCTGAAATTTTCAGCCGAAAATGGACCTATCCCATTTCGGCGAAAACGGGTCAAATTTGCCAAAATTGTAAAAAGAAAATGTTATATATTTTTTATTTTTGTAGTGCATAGTTTAACAGACATGCTTGCATTAACAATTCAAATGATTATATATCACAATGAAAGATAGTAATGATAACATGAAAAGTCAACAATACTGCACTAGGGACGGGGGGGGGACACTATGTGACAGGGGAGGTGGGGGAAGAACACTATGGGACAGGGGAGGGGGGAAAAGAAGGGAGGGGGGAGAAAAGAACACTATGGGATGGGGAGAACACTATGGGATGGGGGAAAAGAACACTGGGACAGGGGAGGGGAGAAAAGAACACTATGGGATGGGGGGGGATAATATGGGACTGGGGAGGAGGGGGGAAAGAACACTAAAAAAGAGGGAGGGGAGAGAGGAACATTAAGGGGGTGGCACTAAAAGAAGGGAGAAGGGAAGTTCATATTAGATTAAATTCATTAAAAAGTCTAATATTAATACAATTATAGGAAGAAAAAAAAAACTTTCAAAATCATTTGGGGGGGAAAAGTCATTTTCGGTTTCAGTTTTCTTCCAAGGGCATCCTGAATTTTCAGTTTCGGCCCAGAATTTTCATTTCAGTGCATCCCTATCTCAAAGATATATAGAGAAGACATTTTGAAGCTGCATTTTATACAAAACTTAAACAGGGTTATTCACTTAAGTGAGAATTCAAAGTGAATTTCAGATGTAAGTCCAAAATAGCTGAACTGGAAAAATTATCTAAATCAGTTATGCTTCCAGCTCTGCTAACTTAGCCTTAATTTAAAATTCACACTTCCGGGAGTAACCCTGAAAGTCATATTTTGAAGAAACGGATGTAAGGCACTATCAGAGTCAAAAGGGAAGAAACCACCAGGGATATAGGCCTGGTGCCCACAGATTACCTGTGGATGACAGGTTACCTGTGAGATCATCAAAATTCACTCTGCCTCTCATTGTGTTCACCACAGACTCTGGCTGCTCAAAGATTTCTTTCTGCATGAAGGAGCTGAAGTTACCTGTGAGTAGTAAGAGATAACATGAATTGCAATTTGATTTGGTTATGTGCTGGCATGCTATACAAGTGTTCACCACACTCTCTCAAAACAATTGTTTATGTTTTAACGTTTATACAGTTTCAGAGTCTACCATTCGACAAAGTAAATATGGTTCACTTTATACAGAATTGGAGAACATGCCCTTTACATATAAAGTTATTCTGTGAATATAGAAACAAATCTTGCGTTAGCACTCACCCTTCATAATCTGCTGAAGTTCCATCTGTAAAGTCTGAATGGCCCGTGCAGGATGATCACCAACATTTCGCTTAATTCGATGAATAGAAAGTCTTCCATTTACTACTGCGGCTACATCATCATCCTCTAGGTATATGACCCGGTTTGTGTGCTCAATGACGGCACTGTAACATGGAACAGGTCAAAATCAGTCAGCTGTGTTTCTCAGGATTCCAAAATCAGAAATAAAAATGTGATGTCTAGGTGCCTTATAGACTATTCAAAGAAAACGCCAGTATGAGATGGCACTATACATTCTTGCACATATGATTCAAACCATGCCGGAGAGGGAGGAAATATTAAATACAATAGTAAAATATTGCATTTGTATTTAACATAATGTACCTACATATTGCACAGTAATAAAAACTATTCGAAAAGTGAGCCTATCAGTTTTCCGGCTTGTAATAAAATTAGAATTGAGGTTTTGGGATCTAATGATTTTTTTTTAGATTTTTTTTAACTTTACAAATTGTAATAGGCCATATTCTTCTATTGTATCCAATGCCTGGCATTTGGCATAGGAGCAATTTCAAAGCATATCCAATACATGATGAAAAATAAAAATTAAAGGGGCAACCTAAATACCTTAAAAACTACAGCTTAGGGATCCACTATCCCCAGTGTGTGAAAAACATTTTAGAGGAGCTTAAAGCCAATCGTTTAGCTCGGTCAACACAGATGTGGACTTTCACATTAGACTGTTTATATATATTATGGTGGAAATGTGCAAGATTTGCCAGAAGAGTCTTTTACTAATAAACTGCTTGATATAACTGAGGGAGCACCAATAAAATCTACAATGAGCTGTAGTGTTTATGGTGCATAGAGTGTCCCTTTAAGGATTCTGAGTGTAACAGCAAAAAAAAAACAAAAACAAATCTTAAATCAGTGCCCAGGACCTACTAACATGCCATGATCTGGGGTGCACAGGTATCAAAGTGACTGAAATGAAGATTATCTCTGCGGTGCCACAGCACAGGTATTAGGAAAACAAGTTCGAGCAGTATGGACATTCCAAGAAAGTAACCTCCTGTTAGGGTGGGGGTGTATCCTATCAAAAGTGCTTCACATGTGATTTGAATAGCAGCTCTACACAATAGTGTGGAATACTACGATCTTACAAACAACACGACAAACCGGCACCTGCTATCTATGCCACATTATGAATGATGTACAGCTTGGAGCTCAGAGTTTAGAAAAGCTTTCAGCCTATGCTGCAAATTCAGGAAGCATCCCATTGAAGGAGTGGTGTGATGTAGCCCTAAAAGCATAACAGCCATATATACAGGCTCCATCACATAAGTGATCTGAACATCTATATATATATTATCTATAGGCAATCACCATCTGCACTATATTGTGTTCCTTCTTTTGTCTTTTATTTACTGGATATATTCTCCTGTTTATATAATTACATACAAGGAATATGGGCATTCCTTCCAGTGCTTGTTAGTCACATCTCACCTGGCATCAGATGCAAAGTAATACTCCACTGCATTCTCCTCCACAGGGAAAAGACAGGTTGTGCTGTCTACTCTGGACAGAGTGCAGCTTCCCTTCTTCTCCATACCTGCGCAAACCAAACAAAGACACAGAGGATTTGTGTAAGACTATGCAGGAGCACCAAGAATGCGGAAAAAAAAGGTAGATCAGGAAATCTAAGAAATGTTAGACAGGAAAAAAAGGAACCTGAATGCCATCTCCAGAAAATTTCAAGCATGCATTTGCTCATGATGAGGCAAAGATTATTTTAAGTGTTCTGCAATGTGAATTCGTTTTCCATTTATACATCTTCGGTGTTTAGATAAAGCATGGACGTTGATGCTCTAGCCAAGGTTCTAATCTCCCTTTTATTACAGTCAAAGCCAATAGGATCAGCCTGCAGAATTTTCTGGCAATAGATTTGAGTACTACGAACCCTGAAATGTATGTGTAAAAAAACATGCTTGACATTAGGACTGATTTTATTCTTGCAGGAGCAGATCCAGTTTGTGGGATAAACTGGGGTAGTTTAAAACTGGTTACAAAATCCATGATATCCATGGTAAACTAACTCCTATGAAAGATTACCATAACCTTGGCCAGTAAAACAATTTATTGTACTAAGGTGCAAAATTACTATTTTAAAAGGGGTATTCTGAAAAGGGCTTTGAAGCAACATAGTTAGACTTGTGACTAGATCCCTTCTTGGCAAGATGACAATAAACAGTGACTTGTTTGGAATTCATCATGGAATTGCAACTTTAAAGGGACACTCAGACCACTTTTGCCCATTGGAGTGGTCTGGGTGCCAACTCCCACTACTCTTAACCCTGCAAGTGTAATTAATGCAGTTTTCTTATAAACTGCAATAATTACCTTGCAGGGTTAACTCCACCTTCCGTGTCCCTAGCACAGGAAACCTGTGCTAGAGCATCGCTGGATGTCCTCACACTGTGTGAGGACCTCCAGCATCGCTCAATTTCCCATTGGAAAGCACTGAAAAGCATTTTCAATGCTTTCATATGGGGAGCTCTAATGCGCATGTGCATTAGGTCTTCTCGGCCGGTGGGCGGGATCAGTCTCACCCCTTCAGCAACCGGGGATTGGGGGGTGGGAGGGAGAGGGGACCTGCAGTGCCAGGAAAACTGTTTTCCTGGCACTGGAGTTTCCCTTTAAAGGCACATTATAGTCACCAGAACAACTACAGTTTATTTACAGTCAGACCCTTCAGACTTTTTGCAGTAAAACACAGTTTTCAGAGAAAAAGCAATGTTTACATTACAGGTAAGAGATACCTCCAGTGGCCACTCCTCAGATGGCTACTAGAGTTGCGTCCTGGGCAATGCTGCACAGTGAGCAGCACTGCCATTCAGTGTCTCCACCCTCTGCATGCAGACACTGAACTTTCCTCATAGAGGTACATTGATTCAATCTCTATGAGGAGATGCTGATTGACTAGTGCGGTGCTTGGCTTGTGCTATCTCTGCCCCTGATCTGCCTCCTTGAAAAGCTGAGCCAATTCAATGCTTCCCTATGGGTAAGCATTGTGATTAGCTGTGATCACCACCTCTGATGATGTCAGCCGATCAGGCAGATTAGGGGCAGGACCAGCAGCAGCAGACGGGAATAAAGGATTTTAGTATATTTAAGGGGGGGGAGGAGGAGCCAGTGGGGCTAGCATTTTTAACACTATTGGGTCAGGAAACAATTAATTTTACAGTTTTACTAATTTCACCTCAATTAGGTGATACCCTGGTGAATTCGCAATAATTCATGATTTAGTGAACAATACTGTCAGTCTAGTTGGATGGGTAGTGTGTGCTGTGTCCTTGGTACTGCAGGATTAAGGAAATTCTTCTTTACACCATATCATGAGCAACTATGAAGAAAGTTAGAAGTATGCAGTCTCATAGCATGACCCAGCATAAATATTCCTTCCCTTAACTAGCAAGAAGAAAATGCCCTAAGCACACAGATAAAGAGAGGCAAAACCATTCACATTGTAAATAACCCAACCCTCCAAAGGCATAAGAATAAGAGGCTGACATTTTGGAGTAGATTTCTTTTAGTATTGTTTTCCATGGGTTTAGAATGCTTGGGAGTAAAAAGGAAAGTATCAACGTGAGCAACACAGATTCACATTTCACTGTGTGCCATACTCCGGGAGTACAATGAGAGCCGATGAGAACACTCTGCCCTTTAGAACTGCACTAGAAGCTCAGACCTCTTGTTTACTATTGTAACATGCTAGGTGTTTACATACACACCTATGTTTAGGAAGGACTAGAACTTTCAAACTATAAACAAAATGATGCTCCCACTAATGGGGCTGAACAAATCTGTTACATCAATTTTAAAACAGATGGTTCAAACTTTTAATTACGCTACAAGGAATTAAAGGAAACAGTGACATCTAGTGTTCAAAAGTGGTACTGATTAGTCAGTTCATAAAAATGGATTTTACTATACAAGGGAGTTATATATTGTTTTATGTACTGCTGACATTAGGAAATGACCATGGATATATGATGCATATATAGGATGGTTCATGTAATTTCGTATTTGTACTCACAACAGATTGATGGGTTTCTATATTATAGGCATTATAGAAGTTTAATTACAAAGGCATGCAAACACTACCATGGGAAACAATTCCAGACATCTCCCAACCTCCTAACATAGCCTTTTTTCTAGAGAACAGTATAGATTGCTTGGGAGTAGGAGTCTGATGAGGCACCTTTATCCTTATTAATGGACATTTCTTCAAGAGAATAGTCCTTGGACTGGGACACTGAAAGTACAATGAGAAATTGCAACAAAAGTAATCAGATAACATGTATATAAGCAGATTATGCATTGCAGGATTCCTGAATGCATACTGTAACATACCAAAGCAGAGATGCACATGGTATGTACAGCCAGTAAAGCATACAGTACAAAAAGACTGGAAGACATTCAGCAACTAACACTACATTTTAAGACACAGACATATGATTGTCAATCTTAAATGAAATTAAATGGATTTGCCTGGCTTGCCTTAATGAATGCTGACATTGTTTCAATCAGTGATATAGGCATTTACATTACAGTGAGAAGGTCCATGACATCGTCTATATATGGAGAATTCACATGCAACCAATAGGTGGTAATACCCTACAACATACTAAGCAGCGGTTACAATTATTTCAAGCTTACCGGAGCGGTAGAGAACTGGTATGTGGTCTGTAGACAGCTTGTGTTTACTTTGTATACCCATCAAAAGTGGGCTTCCCCTTCTACAAGACAAAAGCATGACACAGGGCCATTGGTCCATTATGACAAAAGATAGATGGACGGACGCGCATATACACAAAAAATTCAGGAAGATCAAAATGACCCAATAAAATATAAGAATGACTAATTAATATTAGAAATTACCTTGTTCCAACTGCCTGGCCTGGGAAATGAATGCTCTTAAATACAAGGGCAAAAGCACCTTCCTGTCAAATGAAAGATGATATAATAAGCGTTTGTGTATGGAACACATTTCAATACATTTGCATAACCAAAAATTATTATTAGAGTCAGTGTCTATAAAATACATTATATTCGCATTAAGGTGTTCAGTTATGTCAAACAAACAAAAACTGCAGTATGCCGGTTGCAGCAATGAGCAATGTACATAATGTGCAAGTGCAACAGGCTTAGAAAGCAAGAAGGCATCTCCCAGAGCCAGATTGTGCCATAGCATTGGTTAACCATAGTTTGCATTTTGCTTACCAGCTGCTGGATGACTCGTTCTACTAAAGTCGCAAAGCTGATTTCTGTGTTCTCTCGATTATCAAACATATATTTAACAAGCTTGGCAATAGTCTCAGTGTCAGTCTCAGACTCAAACTCATAACCCTTACTCTCCTGAAAAAGGTCAAAGAAAGGACAAGATTAAACAACGTAAACACAATATAGAACAGAAACAAGGGAGAACGTACAAGCAGCCGTTCTGGGGCAATGTTCTAAAATAGAAGCAATCACCATGAAAACCTTATGAATGTTACTAATCAACTTCATATACACTGCTCTACTATTTCTAGCAATATGTACAACCCACATAATAAAAAAATTAATAAAAAAAAAAAACAACAAAAAAACACAACAACAACATTGAGTTATACAAAGGGCTACTTCCTTCAAATAACAATTGTTCAATTTTTTATTTTCTAGCAATCAAAATAGGAATCAGGTTTATCCTTGCAAGGTCAATAAAATGAATATCATTAAAGGGATCCTATAGTGCCAGGAAAACAAACCCGTTTTCCTGGCACTATATGCTTCTGGAGTGCCCCCTCCCGCGGGGCTGGGTCAGGCTCCAACCACGCCAGCCGGTGGGGAAGACCTAATGCGCATGTGCGGCAATGGCTGTGCGCGCATTAGACCTCCCCATAGGAAGCATTATTCAATGCTTTCCTATGGGTACAATCTGACGCCGGAGGTCCGTTAGGGCGTCCAGCGTCAGATAACGGACCAAAAGTCAGTTTGGATTCTGGAAGCCCTCTAGTGGCTGTCTGGTAGACAGCCACAGAGGGCACACTTAGAGCTGCAATGTAAACTCTCTGGAACTGCAATGTTTTACATTGCAGCACTAAGTGCAAAAGGGTCACAGCACCCAGACTACTTTAATTAGCTGAAGTGGTCTTGGTGCCTACAGTGTCCCTCTAAATTGGAAAATAATACACTCTAGACCCCCCCAAGATGTACTTGAAAACTAATGAAATGCTAAAGGTTTCTCTCTGTGCTAACCTAATACTAAACAGAACTTCTTATGTCAGAGCATTGCACAACAAATACTCTGTCATCATGATTCCTTCATATCAAGGCTGGTAAATATTAGGGAATGCTGGTCTCCCTAAATACACTGACCAACATTTACATTTCAGCAATATTTGTCAAAGTGTTCAACCATGACCAAAGGCTTAATGGAAAGGTGACGCTGTGGTACAGACCCTATACACAGATCACTCACCAAGAACTTTTTCAGGTCCTTGTAATTGGTAATAATACCATTATGGATAACGATGAATTCTGAAAAGAGACGGAGGGGAAAAAAAAGTCAACATAACAAATTTAACTGAAATACACAATTACAAAATGTAAAGTTAGAGATTCTCTACGGCTATCACCGATTATTTTGAATGACGTATTTTCAATTCTATTTAGCACATTTATTCCAAAGTCTAGTTATAGCGCTAGGTAAATTCTAAAACGCTCAGATTCATTCAACTTTTCAGAGCTAGAGAAAATTAAAGTTTCTTTATCCCTTTTTAATAAATCCTCTCCTTATCTTCTGTCACATGGTTAGCCTCTCATTCAACACTAACTTAAATTTCAAGCTAGTCCAGCCCATCTACCACTTATAATCATACCTATTCCACTTCTCAAACATACTGCATTCCACAACTATAAACGAAAGATAAAACTATGCTAGCCTCAATATTTCCCGGAACAGATAACCCCTGCACCAGAAATGTGTCCTTCATAATGTTCTTATACATACATAGAATGTTCGGCTTTATCTAGAGTGCTTTAGCCAATGACTGAACAAGCATAGGTCAGAGCTGAATGTAATGTGGTACTCAGGAACAAGGATTAGCCTACCATTGTTCTTGTCAGAGCGCTGAGGGTGACTGTTTGTGGGGCTTGGTTCTCCATGAGTGGCCCAGCGAGTGTGAGCAATACCTAGATGAACATCAAATTCAATGTCCAGGTCCATGTCTTCCAGCTCTGTAAAACAGAAAAGCCATCATCAAATCTTCAAGTAGCAAAACATTATAATATTTGAGTAATGCTTTCCTGTGGCAGTGTTTGAATGCGCGCACGCGCCTCTGGCCTCGCGTGCGCATTCGGCTCCACTCGGGAGCTGACGTCACCAGCGCCGAGGGAGCCAGGCACTGGATTAAGGTAAGTGGCTGAAGGGTTTTTAACCCCTTCACCACCGAGGGAGGGGGGCACTCCAAGAGCCTATAGTGCCAGGAAAACGGGTTTGTTTTCCTGGCACTATAGGATTCCTTTAATAAATTTGTGCTAAAAAGATCTCAATTCACCTTCTATAAAAAAGGGAGCCAAATATACTGACATTATTATTTTATTATAATTGACGCACTGAACAAAATCAATAAATATGTCATGCTAATTAACACTTTCAGAGAAAATGCCTTCTGGACTACATTTCCCAAGGTGCTCAGCTGGATGAGGATCACTGGAAATCATTGGGAATATAGTCAAAAACAGCTGTGTGCAAAAGGTTAAGCATCATGCACCTAGAAGGGGGGTCTACTTTTCAATGTAGTATGTGTTCTTTCAGAAGGGGGCACATTTTTCTCAGTGAAAATGTGGAAGAGATTAAAGTGTTATTAATTAGCCACATCTGACAAGCTTACATTTAAGGACAATAAACATCCATTTGCAGTCAGGGGAAGTGGATCTGTATAAAGAAGTCAAACGGAGCAGAAATTTTTTAAGACAGATTTCTGGCCATTAAAAATGGAGGGAAAAGAAAAGAAAAGAAAACAAATACTTGGAAAACAGGATCACTGCACAACATAAAAAAAATAAAATAAAAAAAGGAGTAGCCAACAAAAATAAACCTTACACCAAAAAAAGAGGGGGGAGGTTGGCGGCAATCTCCAGGAGAAGCAGGCACAAATAACATTTGGGGTCATAATCAGAGTAAAACTGTCAAAGAAAATGTTACATCTCAGAGGGCCCCCCTGCATAGGAGACCTGACATTGACCTGGCAAACCTTATGGACAGACCCCTTCAAGAGCAGAACTTAGAAAAAGTTAAACATGGTTTTTGGAAAGGACCTAAACGACTGCATGTTAACCTTTTCAAAGTGTGTGCAAATCATTGTGAAGCAAATGGTTAAAGCAATCACGATCAGATAATCATCTTCTGAGTAAACTAAAGATCAGCCCCCTACAATTTCTTGGAAGTCAGAGGTTTTTTTTTTACCTAAATCCCACATTCTATTATGAAATCCTCTGGCAGAGGGACAGGGTCTTGGATACTTCTTGGATGGTGGGGGTTGGGTGAGTGAATGGGTATTAATGACATTTTACTGAAACTTTTTTTTCTGGAAAATAAACATTTGGCACAGAGTTTGGACTCAGCCAGCGGAGTTGAAGTGTTGGGTTTCATGTCATTAAAAGAGATTCAACAGAGACCTCGATTTCCATTAAACCTCCACGTATGCAGTCTGGTGGGACTCAGCATTGCATTCCATCTACAGAGCTACAAGGGTTTAACCCTCTGGTTGGCACAGTGTGCGGACATGCAACCAGCTGCCTTGACAGCAAATAAAAGAGCCAACACCCATCTTGATGATAATTAGCAAATAGACAGTTTGTGCATTTTATTCCATAACTATTAATGACTTAGTGTTTAGTTGCCATGGTAACAAGACACAGTATGTGACCTTGCATAAATAGACATTATTATTACTACCTCCCTGGTACTTGCTTATTCAACAGCTAATTTTCCAAAATCAGCCTATTTACAAAATTACACCTTTTTGGAAGAAGAATGTGAGGAACATTTGTTTGTTAAATACTCATGGAAAAATAATTCTATTCTGATCATATATACATTTGACACTCAAATAAAACATTATCATCACATCTTTATGAAAATGTTTTGCAAAGACAGCAATGGATTTTTACATCAGATCATATGTACAAGACCAAGTAGGGACTACTAGTCTTAACTACAAGTTCCATTTTGGCAAAAAGTGGTAATGGCTATCCTTCAGCCACCACATCCTGCCATTTCCTGTTTAAACGATCTTGCTGTCTTGCATTTTCATCCATAGACAAACCCCCATTATGAAAAAAACCACAACGATCAGAAGATGGAGACGTAGAGGAACAGGGAGAGTTTTGGGTAAGAAGAGATGCAGACATGTAGAGATATTCAAATAACTGTTCTTAACCAACATGGAACTAACTATTACATCTGAGGTGGCTCCTCCCCTCACAGCTAACAGGGCAGGCAAATAATAAAATACCAATTTTTTTTATTTTAAATCGACTAGGGGTAGGCAACCTTTGGCACTCCAGATGTTGTCGACTACATTCCCCATAATGCTCTTACACCCATAATGCTGGCAAAGCATCAAGGGATGTGTAGTCCAAAACATCAGGAGTGCCGAAGGTTGCCTATGCCTGGTAGGACATTGGTAAGTAATAGAAGAACAAAAAATGGACATCCATTAATACATACCACAATTCACTTGTACCAGCAATACATTTCAAGCAGCTTTAAAAACAACTGACACTTTAAAAGGCTAGAAGCTGAAACAAAATATCTAGTATGAAATATTTTAATTAAAGGGACACTACAGGCACCCAAACCACTTCATCTCATTGAAGTGGCCTGGGTGTGGTGCCCCTGTTCCCTTAACCATGCAGTGTAAAACATTGCTGTTTTAGAGAAATGGACATGTTTACATTGCAGTGCTCAGACTGCCTCTAGTGACTGTCTACTAGACAACTACTATAGGCGCTTCCTGCAGTTTCACAGAGTTCGAATCTGTGAAACAACGCTGGACATCCTCACGCCCAGCATGAGGACATCCAGTGTCAAGCAAAACCCCAAAGGAAAGTTTTGAATCAATGCTTACGGCCGCACATGCACATAAGCTCCCCCGCCATCTGGAGGAGGAGTGAGACCCAGCGCCAAGGGACATCGGCACTGGAATCAGGTAGTTGAATAAAAGGGGTTTTTAACCCTTTTGTTGCAGGAAGTGTGGAACAGAGGGACACTTAAGTGTTAGAATACATCTTTGTATTCCTAGGGTTCATTTGTGTCTATGTGGTACATAAAGATCTTTGCAGATGTACAAAAAATACATAAGAGCTGAACAAACTATTTAAAAATCCAGATACGATCCAAGAACTAATAGCAAGTAATGAAACACTAAAAATAAGATTATATTACAAGGGTAAGGTAAGTAAATGACACATAGAATTCTATACATATATAGACATTACTGTAAACAAAAGTTCACACAGACAATCACTCACCCACACACGAACAAATAAAGGTAAGATGCAGAGCCTCATGCATATGCATCAAAGTCTCAGAAACGTCCTTTCCCAGTACAGCATCTTCACTAAATACTCCAATTTTTTGTCTCACGTTTATATTTACAGTGATATATATGGGATATAACCAAATAAAGGATGTGCATATCTGTAAATTCATAATATTCTGAACAATGTCCTTTATTCGTGCTCACAGAATATGCCACATCATCAAGATCCCCACCATCTCATTTCTATCAAGTGAGATCTGCAAAGGCTGTCATGGATGAAAAACATGGCTATTGCTTTATTAACATATTGCAACATACTATTAATCTCTTCCTCTAGAGCCTTGACTTTCCCCTTTTTCTTGATCAGCTGAATTTTGCCGACGTTGTTCTCCCAGTTCTTTTCATTGCCACCATCGATCCCAACACCTGAAACACAATGAAATGAATGCAAAAAGTCAGCGTTTTGGGTCCGTCGTTTTTTCAGCAGAGTGCACTATCCCTAGAATCTTAGTACTCGAGTGAACTGGAGGCAATTGCTTCAATTTTAATTACAACGTTTTTTAGATTATAATGTGCATTTAAAAAAGCATGCCTTTAAATTAAAAATGCTTAGAAAAAAAAGTGACCAAATACATTTGGTCAAATGCTTTAAAAAAATTTTTTTTTTAAAAAGGAGTTTAATTCACCACTTTTATATTAATGTAAGTGAATGCTTTCAAAAACAATTTGACAAAAAAAAAAAAAAAAAATTGTCAATCTCTTTTTATTCTCAATCCATAAAATACACAGGAAGTACAATTGACTAGGTACATAGACAAAATGCAAAATACAGGACAACTGTGACATGACAAGCGCTTCTAAGATTAGACAGAGGATTTTGTGATAAACAATCACTAGTGTACTAAGCCTTCCACCCATATGAAGGATATCGGAAGCAAAGTCGCACGCTGTATAAAAAGGTATTAAAGGCTACTTGCCTCTTATCGCAAAGATGATGCTGGATAATAGATCTACTGGGTACATATACAAAGAGGCTAAAAACCCCTGGGCTAGGTCGGTATGAGTGGCTGGGGTGGGTGGGGGGTGGAGTTTATGAGGAGCTAAGTCCCCAAAGCCAGCTGGAGGTAATAAAAGGGAATTTGTCCCTCAGGTCGACAAAAACTAACTTTAATATATATATATTTAATACCAATATTAACTATATATGAACTAGACATATTGTCACAAAACACACATATAATAAATCAACAATAACCTTCATTAAGTGTTTAATCTCATGACCAAATGGATGTAGTCATTGACTGTGTTTTGCTCTGAAAATCTCTTTTCATTTAATAAGTTACTTGCCACATTTAAAACACCGGTGCTGAACCCAGTTATGTCTGTGGCTTACCTGCAGAGTCATATCCTCGGTACTCCAGCCTCTGTAGACCTTTAATGAGCCTTTCCAGGATCTCACGCCGTGTGTGGGACACATGGTAGTTAAGGTAAGCAAAAATTCCTGTTTAAAAGTGAAAACATTATAGATTAGACTTACAGCAGGCTGTGGACAAGGAGGATTAGCCAACACATGGGGAAACAGACCAAGTGAAATATATTTAGAATTTGTTTGGCGAAGGACTAAAATGATCCATATCGGTGCTTATAAGTTTATGAGCCATGAAGCGTCTCACTCAAAAGGAGCTATACAAAATAATATAAACATTTTAACAGCAATGAAGCATGGCACTCCAGCTTCTGAGCATTGTCTCCTAAAATATTCAGGGACCTCATTGAGATGTGTCTTAGATTAGTGTTCAGCACTGAACATATGTATGTGCACACAGGAAATATTTCCCCCAGACAACAAAACTACTCCAACAACTCCAGAAATTCAGGAAGAGGTAAATTCCCTGAAAAGATCTTATTACCAAACTGAATAATGAATGGTTATACAGTCAGTCATCATAGACTTATCAATATATTTTAGAATTTAAAAAGAAGTCTGGGATACATGGCTTAAAAGGCATGGACAATGGAGTATGATTTTTGCATTGTGGTTGCTACTGTAAAATGTTTGGTGTGTTTCCTGTAATATATGAATATATTACAAGACCAAGAATAACTAAGGAACAATATGCAGAGCCTAACAGAATGTCAAAATGTCTAATTCCATGGTTAATGGATACCTTTTAGAAAGTTTTGCCTATTTTTCCTCTAGCCTGTTCCTCTGAATATTTTCTGTGGTGCATAAGCCATGCCTAGAAGTAAATGTTTTTTTGACTGTGTTGTCCAAAGGAACAGACACACAGTTAGGTCTATGTAAAGATTTTAGCAGTACACAGATTAAAAGACTTAAGAGTAACTGTCAGTATGCACTCCAATAACCCAAGCCTTGGTTCCAGTAAATGCAGTCGGTTAAAGTCTGCACGTTTTGCTTGGGCAGGTATGGCTTGCCAGCTCCAGCTATCACTATTCAGCTCTAAATATCCATTTAGCAAATACCGGACTCCTAGATTTCAGCGGAAAATAGAACACAGAGAACCTTTTTGATACAAGGGGAGAGAGTGTCTCTTGGCATCACAAAGAGCCAATTCAGGGCTCCCAACAAAAAAGTGGTCAAATAGCTCTAGCAAATGAGAAAAATCTCCAAAATATCATAAAAATCAGACTGAACACCTTGAAGGCCTAAATACATGCCTGAACTTAAACAAAAGTAACAAGCCCCCATATAAAATCCCCACATCATTATCTTTAAAAAGGACAAAAAACAGATTTCCTGTCTGTCTGTATGTAGCTAGAAGAGTCCTAACAAAAATATTTCCATCATGAATTGGAGAAACAAAAACCCTCTTCAGCAGCAGTTATCAGTCTCTGAGTGTGTAGGGGGAGGGGGAACGTGGCTTATTACTGGGCCACAATGGGTTAATGTTGAACCCTAGATATAAAAGATCATCCTGGCCAGCAACTTCAGAACATTTTTGTGACAGAAGTTTACTTCGGCACAACTATAAAGCTAAAACGTTACATGTGTTTCCTATAAAAGTTATTCACCTAATCATACATTGCTGGGGGGTACATTGTTCACGGTTCTGCCACAAGGATAATAAAATACACACCTATTTCGTGTAATAGATCTTTACAGCAGTATAGCTGTCAAAATAGTATGTAGAGCTCTTCCATGGCTATTTAACGGGACACTCCAGGCACCCAGACCACTTCTGCCCATTGGAGTGGTCTGGGTGCCAACTCCCATCACCCTTAACACTAGAATGGTAATTATTGCAGTTTTTATAAAATGCAATAATTACCTTGCAGGGTTAATTCCTCCTCTAGTGGCTGTCTATCAAAACACGAAAAGTGTTTTAAATGACACTGGACATCCTCACGCTATGCATGAAGACCTCCAGCATTGCTGGAATCCCCATAGGAAAGCACTGATTAATGCTTTCCTATGGGGAGGTCTAATGCGCGCTGCCATTACCGCGCATGCCCATAAGGTCTCCCCGCCAACTGATGACGGCGGGGGAGAAGCGTGGGTGGAGCCTGACCCAGAACCGAGGGACATCGGTGCTGGATTCAGGTAAGTCACTGAACAACATGGGATGGGGTGTGGGACAGAGGGGGGCAATGCATGGCCCTGCAGTGCCAGGAAAATGCCTTTCCTATATTTGTTTTAATTTTCTTTATAATGCTCTATTCAGTACTTACTTATACCCTCCCTCTCTCTTATTTCTTCAAAAATCCCTATAAAAATAAATAAAAACTTACATGAAGCATCTATCTGGCTGGACTGTTCATTGGCTCTGAGCGCATGCACTTGCTCTGACCAGTGTAAGAGAGGGAAGGAGGGAGCGAGTTCCAGACTTCACATGTGCCAGGGGTGTAACTAGCACTCGACACAAATGTTAATAAAGGAACACTATAGGGTCAGGAACATGTATTCCTGCCCCTATAGTGCTAAACTCACCATTTAGGTGGCTTAACCCCTCCCCCCCCCTCCTTAAAAGCAATCACAACCTCCCCCTATTTCCAGCGCTGCGTGGGTCCGCCGGCACTGGCCCCGCCCTCTTGAGGACATCATCAGAATTGCTGATTTTAGCCAATCCAATGCTTTCCACAACGTTGTTTTGGCCAATCAGCAGCTCCTCATGGAGATGCATTGATTCAATGCATCTCCATGAGGAAAATTCAGCGTCCCCATGCAATGTGTGGAGACGCTGAATGGCAGTGCTGCCTACTATGCAGCACTGAGCCAGAAAGCACCTCCAGTGGCCATCTGAGGAGTGGCCACTTGGAGGTGTCCCCAGGGGCAATGTAAACACTGCCTTTTCTCTGGAAAGGCACTGTTTGCATAAAAATGCCTGAAGGGAGCTATTACACTCACCAGAACAACTACATTAAAAGGACCACTATAGTGCCAGGAAAACATACTCGTTTTCCTGGCACTATAGTGCCCTGAGGGTGCCCCCACCCTCAGGGTCCCCCTCCCGCCCGGCTGTGGAAAGGGGAAAAGGGGTTAAACTTACCTTTTTCCAGCGCTGGGCAGGAAGCTCTCCTCCTCTTCTCCTCCCCGTCGGCTGAATGCGCACGCATTGCTATGAAACTGCTATGTTTATGAAAAAATGGGTTAACCCTAGCTGGACCTGGCACCCAGACCACTTCATTAAGCTGAAGTGGTCTGGGTGCCTAGAGTGGTCCTTTAAGCTATAGTTCTGGTGACTATAGTGTCCCTTTAATATTTGCTGAGTTTACAATTCGTGAAACTAAATTGGGATTTAGAACAAGAACAATGAATCTTATCTACACAGGCTGTAGTTTAATGACACATTACTGTAAATATTATTATTGATGTGGAACTCTGTTATAGACTCACACACCAACAATATAGAGTTCCAAGAAAATAGGGACAATAGTATAGAAAAGAGGGACAGAAAGATTTGGGCCCAAAATAGGTACTGTCCATCCTAAATAGGCACACTTGGGAGGTGTGTTGAATATATGTAAGAATATTTGGAGGTGATGTGTACAAAAGGACAAATGAGGATATCAGGAGTGTATACCTCTGGGAAAAGTGCTTCTAACGTTTAATTCCAAGTACTTTAATTTTCTTTTCTAGGTTTAACAAACTGTATTATATGTACTTGACACAATGGCCTTAAAATAAGCAAGTTCTCTCCCAGGGCAAAACTTTGTGATAATTGATTAGCAGTTTTATCAGACTGTATTTGGGATAATTGCTATTTAAATTTACAGAGATAAACATATAGACTAAAGCTTAGGAAGTCAGTGTCTACGCCACTCACTAAGATTACCCTGAGATTAGAAGGACCTAAGCCTCTAATGCTCGAGACAATCCTTCTACAGCTTTGAAAAAAAAAAAAAAAAAAAAGTTAATTTAAGCAAAGGGTCGAAGAATCATAATATGTTTATTCCAACGTTATGAAATTTTAACTCCAAAGTCAACTGGCACCTTTGTATGTCCTCAGTTTTAATATATGGAAATCTACATGGCAATAAAAACACTCAGTGTGGTTTGTTAAAATGGCAGTGAATTTGTTATCTTTCTTTTTCTAAATTACTTAATTGCATCAATAGCTGCTGGATGAGACCCTGCCCTCAGCTACACACCCTAAAGGAGTGTTAACCATAGGTGTGTACTGGGATGAATGATATAATCACATTGATAAAGATCTAGAAGCGCTTGTTTAGAACATGTGATATTGTTCACAATTGATATAAAATAATTATGTAAACGAAATAAGATTGCGGGACTACACTCATTCCCATAAGTGATAGTTGCAGTAGCAGAAATATTTGTCACCCATACAGAATTTTTATAAACAAGGAAGTATACACCCATATACCAGTACAACAATCTTTAGAACTATAAAACAGCTGCAATGTTTACTCACCACAAATCACATTCTCTGTAAACCATGTTCCAGAATATTCCCACCTTGGCTACAATATTTATATTTGTTAATTTTAACTGAGTGGTTTTGGTGTATATATTATTATTATTGCCATTTATATAGATCCAACATATTCCGTGGCGCTTTACAATATTATGAGAGGGGGGATTTAACTATAAATAGGACAATTACAAGAAAACTTACAGGAACGATAGGTTGAAGAGGACCCTGCTCAAACGAGCTTTCAGTCTATAGGAGGTGGGGTATAAAACACATTAGGACAGGAAATATCAATTAAATAAGGTGGGAATGAAGCAGAGCTGGAGGAGAGAGTAGAGTGCCGCCCTTTAGGAGAGAGCAAGAGGTTACTCTGGGAGGCCATAAGCTTTCCTAAAGAGATGGGTTTTAAGGCACTTCTTCAAATGATTGAAGACTAGTGGAGAGTCTGGTGGCGGTACTTACCTGATCCCAGCTCCGATGCCACCTAACGGGGGGGGGAGGGGTCCCAAATGCAAATTAATTAATGCTAATTGATTCAATGCTTGCCTTTAGGGCAATAGCTGATGCTGGATGTCCTCATGCGTCCAGCGTCAGTTAAGCTACCCAAAGTCGCCTAGCAAGCATAAAGTGACTCTAGTGGCTGTCTAATGGACAGCCACTAGAGGCAGCCTTAGTCCTGAAGGTAATTAAAGGACCACTATAGTGCCACTATAGTGCCCTGAGGGTGCCCCCACCCTCAGGGACCCCCTCCCGTCCGGCTCTGGGGAGAGGAAAGAGGTAAAAACTTACCTTTTTCCAGCGCTGGGCGGAGAGCTCTCTGCCTCCTCTCCTCCTCCGATCCGCCCCGTCGGCTGGCTGCGCGCGAATTCAGTCTGTCACATAGGAAAGCATTCTCAATGCTTTCCTATAGACGCTGGCGTGCTCTCACTGTGAAAATCACAGTGAGAAGCACGCAAGCGCCTCTAGTGGCTGTCAATGAGACAGCAACTAGAGGGAATGGGGGAAGGCTTAACGAAAAAATGGGTTAACCCTAGAAGGACCTGGCACCCAGACCACTTCATTAAGCTGAAGTGGTTTGGGTGCCTAGAGTGGTCCTTTAATGCAGTTTCTTAAAAACTGCAATGATTTACATTGCAGGACTAAAGGGAACAGGGACATTGCACCCAGACCACTTCAATGAGCTGAAATAGTCTGGGTGCCAATAGTGTCCCTTTAAAGTCAACTACAACTTTCACAACAGTTTATGCACTTATTGTACATAAACTAAGTAACATTTATAGACTACATAGAGTGATCAAAAATGAATTCAGTATTTATTTTTATTTTATTTTTTTAAACTTAAAAAATATATCTTATTGAAAGCATTTATACTCCAATCAGTTCTTAAAAACTGGATATGAAAGAATATTTTCATTTTAAATAAGTCCATTTTAACTAGTTAAACAGATATTAATACTCAATGCAGCTGCTTGTTTTATTTCTGTGTATCATTTATTGCAAGCTATTTAGAGCATAAAATGACATGGTAGCATAACATTCCCTCTCACACAAAACGCTAGTCACTTTTTAAGGCCTGACCTGACTGAAAAAAAAAACATTCATGCCAGAAATTAGCAAATATGTTTGGTTGATGGGATGTATGTAAAGTATTGTGTATATGGACATAAATTACCCTGTCTTTATAAACCAGCTGGAGGCCCTAACATAAGACTATACACCCCAGCATTGTCTAGCTAATGAAAGATAAGGAGTCAAGGGCCAGACATTCCTGCTTTACAGTGCATGACTCGAAAATAACCAACCCAGACTCCTTTGATATAAAATAATGGACAGACCCCAGTTTTAACTCTGATTGAAGTTTACAAAGGTATGTCAGAAACATGTGTGACAGTGTATATCAAAGACAAGTTTACCGAGGCCTGAATCACCCTGCAGGAATAGTTGATACTAGGCCAGTAATTAACCACATTTAGTACTAATCAGGATAGCTGTTGGGAGCACATTCCACTAAAAGCAGTATTTCCAGCTGCCCTTTGTTGATCCTGATTATTAAGTCAAACAACACTGAAACCAAAATGTCTACTGTCCTCAAAACAAAGGGTTTAGGGAGGGGCGGCTCTACAAGTTTTAAATGTCAGTCAAACTGCAAACACAAATAATGAAATCTCAACACCAGTAACGATATAAAGAAGATTTATTATACCAAAAGTGGACCCAGCAACATTTCGAAGCATTTCCTTCATTAATTCTTTTTTTTTTTTCTTTCTTTCTTTTCTAATAAATATAAGTTCAATTTATTGATCAATATAGGCATTATCAATTTTAGAAAATGATAGTCACAGGAATATGCAGTGTTGATATAAGCTACACTAATGATTTATAGTAAATAATATAGGCTGCTATTCCACATAATATTTTATTCACCCTTGCATCCAGTTATTTATGCTCAATGACCAGCTCTAGAGCCTTCAAAACCTTATTCACATGTTCTCTACATTCGAGAAATTTTTATGTCTACCAAAATAAAAACTTACCTTCTCCAAATATTTTCCATTTAATATGGTCCTGTCATCATGCAGGGCCAACCAATTATTTATCAAAACTTTAGTGAGCAAGTCTAAAATCTTTACACAAAATAAATGAAATGTAAAAATAGGTCTAGCCATTGCCAAAAATGCAAAATGGCATAAAGGCTTACTCATCTGCAAAATGTATGTTACTCATCTCAAAATATGTTTAGAGAAAACACCCAGGGCACATGGGAATACTGTCTTGCCATATTTTCTCAGACCTCCTGGAAAGATAGTGATGAAGGGCAGAATAGAAAACTAACTTGCAAAGGTCAAGGAAAAAAAAAGATGATATGGTAGAATCTCTCCTATAATAATAATAATAATAATAATAATAATAATAATAATAATAATAATAATAATAAACATCTTCTGCCTAACATAGGAGGCTAGTCACTTGAAAATAACAAATATAGACAGTATATCCCAAGAAATAGATAGTTGCTAGAAAATCAAGAACATAAAGAAAAGTCATAAGTCTTAGAAGAGTCAATATTGGCAAAATTTCCAGGAAATAGTAAAAAAAAAATAAAAATAAAAAAATTACAGAAAAATCTATAAGGTTTGAATTGATGATTTGTATAAATTAATGGAAACTCCTAGGATGCAAATTTTCGTGTTTTGGAAAGGCAATAAGGTGTTAACAGTAATGCATCAAGCACGTTCCATTAAGGAAATCACACTGCTTGAAGTAAATGTGAGATTGTGGCTTAATTGCTTAGGCCTCCATTACTGCCCGAGGGGAACATGTGATAAGAAAGAATACAAGGTGAGGCAATTAAATAATAGACTGTGCTTGGCCAGGAGTCTCAGCTGATGTGGCAAAAGTCAATACTTTTGCAGTGACAGTTAATAAACTGCAGTGCCTGATCTAACAAACCATCCCCAAATCAACAGGAGGAGGAGCTGTTGGATCCAGATTTTGGTGGCACCATGTGATACAGTTTTAACATGCCAACTGGTCATGTCATTAGTATTCAATGATCCTCTAGTTAAATTAGGACCGGTACGTACCCATACCAGGTATAAACGTAATCCTTGTGCAGTTGGATACCCCAATGCACTCTCCTACGGTGGGAAAGTTTGGAAGATCTTATGAAGATGATATTGGAAACAAAGTGTAGCAATAAGTAATATCATCCAGGTTCCACTCACTTTGTCATGTTTGGTTCAGCTGTAAAATCTTATTATATAATTTGTCACATCATCATCACCACTTCATTGCATATTTAGTCTGTCATTATTACTTTCCTTATTCTAACCCTCCAGTAGCACTAGAAGATATTAAGATAGGGAATCCTTATCTTTCGAAGTCCAAGAGTTCATATTCATGTGATCACAGAACAAAGATACTAAACTATCTTAGTTAGCTGAGGTACATGCTTACACCTCAAGATTGCAGGTTCAATCACCTACAAAGGCAACTAAACCTAAAATGAATACCAATAAACTGGGTTAACAAGTTCTTTGAAAACTACTATAAGAAAAAAACAAAAACAAAAAACTAAACTAAAAGCAGGTCACTATTCGACCAAGTCTTTGTTCTATTTTTGTTGGTCAAATACCTGCTAATTTATACCCCACTGTAAAAAACATTGTGGGATGTGTTGGTGTTATAAGAATGATAAGAACAACTGCCAGAGAGTGTAACAATACAGTGCTGTAGGCTTGGAGGGACAAAAAACCTGGTACTATCACAGTATACTACCAAAAAACTCACTTACACACATGAAAGGATGGATATTTAACATTGCTGGACACAACAGAAAGTGAAGGGAGACAGAAACATTAGAGGAAACTGCAGTACAGAAAAAAAAAAAAAAAAGACTGAGAATAAGGAGAGGTAATACCTAGCAAAAACAACGATAGTGTTATGGAATGAGGAAGAAGCAAAGGAATTGTCATTTAATTGTGGGAGTGGAAAGCAATGACATCAAGTTAAAGAGCTGGATCACAGTAAATGAAGGAATTTAAATCAGAAATCTGACAGCAATAAAAGAAATAAATTAAAAAAAAAATAAAAAAAAAAAAAAATATACAAAACCAGCTCTCCCCTTGTGTGCAATGGAAATGGATAATAACATTGACACTACAGACAGATATAGACTACTGTTCCCACAAACTTTCAGCCAAACCAGACTGACTGAGCACCATGGGGAATGAAGCCAGCAAACATGATCTGCACAGACACTAGCCATTGCTGTACTGTGATTTGTTCATGCACACATTTGCATGTGGTCAGTAACAAACTACAATTTTACCAATCACTTCAGTACTTTCATCTAAGGCATTTAGAGGTTCTTACATAGACCAGGGATGTAATGTATGTCATTAAGTTTATTAGTTCTTATTATTATATCAAGTAATACCTCTTACATTTTTTATGGGTGGGAAAGCAAACTTAACTGAGTAGCATAGAAAGGGCACATACTGTTGTTAACATGAGTAATCGACTTCATTACAATGATATGCAGAGCAAAGGGCATACCAAGACCTGGCTAACACAATTTGTAAGACCTTGCAACAGAAAAAAAAACAAAAAAAAAAAAACAGAAAACAGGAACAGCTATTGGATACATTATATGTTGCTGTAGTCAAGGTTAACAAAGCATCGTGTGAGTTTTAGTTCTACAGCAACTGAGAATCAATCTATCTACTCTATGAGCACTCCTCATTTAAACTGAATAGTTCACTTTATACTGAGAACAGACTGAAAAGTAACTGTGGGACACCACTGAATTGAACGAAGTTAAAATTACCAATATTTAACAAGTGAGAATAGTATGTGAACGATGAGAACGAATGTCCAAGAACTGTCACTGTTACACCTACTCAGAGAGAATACTTAAATGGGATGGAGGGGGGATTGGCACAAGAGCTGACACTCACTAGACACTGCAGACAGAATATAGGATGGTATTATAGTATACAATAGTAACAGAGATAATACTAGAATACTTAAAGGGTGGACGGGAATGGGCACAAGAGCTGACACTCACTTAAATGAGATGTCATTAGACATTGCAGACGGACTATAGGATGGTATTATAGTATACAGTAGTAACAGAGATACAGTAATCAATGAGTATATATACACACAATATACTATGTGTAGGACCTGCCACTCACTGTGCCAATCAGGGATCACAGAGCAGGCACTCAGTGAGGGTAGGTAGCCCTGGAGGTAGCCTGGTACTTAGTGAGGGTAGGTGGCCCTGGATGTACCCTGGTACTCAGTGAAGGTAGGTGGCCCTGGAGGTACCCTGGCATTCAGTGAGGGTAGGTGGCACTGGAGATAGCCTGGCACTCAGTGAGGGTAGGTGGCCCTGGAGGTACCCTGGCACTCAGTGAGGGTAGGTGGCCCTGGAGGTAGCCTGGCACTCAGTGAGGGTAGGTGGCCCTGGAGGTAGCCTGGCACTCAGTGAGGGTAGGTGGCCCTGGAGGTACCCTGGCACTCAGTGAGGGTAGGTGGCCCTGGAGGTAGCCTGGCACTCAGTGAGGGTAGGTGGCCCTGGAGGTAGCCTGGCACTCAGTGAGGTAGCAGGTGGCACTCACTGGAGGTAGCCTGGCACTCAGTGAGGTGGGTGGCACTGGAGGTAGCCTGGCACTCAGTGAGGGTAGGTGGCACTGGAGGTAGCCTGGCACTCAGTGAGGATAGGTGGCACTGGAGGTAGCCTGGCACTCAGTGAGGGTAGGTGGCACTGGAGGTAGCCTGGCACTCAGTGAGGATAGGTGGCACTGGAGGTAGCCTGGCACTCAGTGAGGGTAGGTGGCACTGGAGGTAGCCTGGCACTCAGTGAGGATAGGTGGCACTGGAGGTAGCCTGGCACTCAGTGAGGGTAGGTGGCACTGGAGGTAGCCTGGCACTCAGTGAGGATAGGTGGCACTGGAGGTAGCCTGGCACTCAGTGAGGGTAGGTGGCCTGGAGGTAGCCTGGCACTCAGTGAGGTAGGTGGCACTGGAGGTAGCCTGGCACTCAGTGAGGATAGGTGGCACTGGAGGTAGCCTGGCACTCAGTGAGGGTAGGTGGCACTGGAGGTAGCCTGGCACTCAGTGAGGATAGGTGGCACTGGAGGTAGCCTGGCACTCAGTGAGGTAGGTGGTGGAGGGGCAGGTGGCCCTGGGGCCAGCCTGGCACTCCAGTGCACTGAGCAGGTGGTAGGTGGCCCTGGAGGTAGCCTCCAGTGGGTACCAGTGGTAGGATAGGTGGCCCTGGAGGTAGCCTGGCACTCAGTGAGGGTAGGTGGCCCTGGAGGTAGCCTGGCACTCAGTGAGGGTAGGTGGCCCTGGAGGTAGCCTGGCACTCAGTGAGGGTAGGTGGCCCTGGAGGTAGCCTGGCACTCAGTACTTACCGCACATGTTGTCAGTGTATCTGTCACCCTCTCAGTTCTATCACACAGACTGCTGCTGGGACTGCCTGGCACGACACTACCTTCATAAAGGACCACAGCGCTCTTCTGACGTCACGCACCCAGCCTTCCCAGGCCAGCTTCCATCCCATTGGCCACTCGCTTTCCCGTAAGAGCCTGTGAGCCTTTCCATTGGGCACTCCCCTCCGGAAGCCGCGCCCACCGTGTACCGTTTCACGCTCTCACTGGCGGCAGCTAGAGTGGGCGGGGCTGAGTGGTGGCACATGTGACGTGGCCGGATCCATCAAGGAAGCGGTGACTCCGCACTGGGAGACATGGTCGCTATTCACATCTGTGGGCGGGGCGTATGACGTCACCTGGTGCAATTTTTTTTTTGCTTTTTTTACCCCTTTCTGACTCAGTGACAGAGTTCACAGCAGACAATAACCAGCTTACATTGTCATTCATTATAGCTGTGTGTGGCCTGTTATTACACACTGCACGCACTCCCATTATAGCTTTTATTAACCCCTTCAGGACACATGACATGTGTGACATCTCATGATTGCCTTTTATTCCAGAAGTTTAGTCCTTAAGGGGTTAAAGCTGAGCAAGTCACTTCTTATGGATTCAAACGTTTAAAAAAAAAAAATTTGAATAACCATGTGTAATCTGTGTTAACATTATTTTAATTGTGTCCTACATTTACCGTTTAATGTGTAGTAAATATTTAGTTATTGGTAGCTCAATCCAGTTCAGTCCTGGCACAGCCAAGGCACACATTACATTGGAGGAGACACTGAGCGCGACTTATTATTATTATATAGCGCCAACTAATCTCGCACTGTTTTCCAATATTATATTATAGAGGAGGGAAATCTAACAATAAATAAGACAATAACAAAATGATACAGGAACAATAGATTGATGAGGACCCTGCTCAAACGAGCTTACAGTCTAGAGGAGGAGGGGTATAAAAAAACGCAGCAAGAAGGGCATCAATGAGGGACAAACAAACAAACAACAACAATGTGCGAATGAAGCAGAAAAGGAGATAATAGTGGAGGTGTGGCTGTTTAGGAGAGAGCAAGAGACAGGTTTGGGACAGAGAAGTTACTCTGGGAGGCCATTAGCTTTCCTGAAGAGATGGGTTTTGAGTGACTTCTTTACTGATTGAAAACTAGGGAAGAGTCTTATGGGGTTGGCAGGCTGATTCAAAGGAATAGAGCCAGCCCGTAAGAAGTCCTGCAGGAGCGAGTTAGCAGAAAGGGTGCGAATAGCGGTCAGGAGAAGTGCACCGGCCGAGCGGAGAGACCAGGAAGAGGTGTATCTATGAATCCGTGAATAAATGTAACAGGGGCTAGAGTTGTTTATAGCTTTATAGGTGAGGGTTTGTATTTTGAATTGACACCTACAGGATGCAGGAAGCCAAAGTAAGGATTGTCAGAGAGGCAAGGTGTGAGTGGCGCGACAGGAGAGAAAAATCAGCCTGGCGGCAGCATTCTTTACAGGTGATTGCGGGGCTGATATGGTCCTCTATATTTGCTAAAGTAAAAACATGACAAAATAGCCCATGCTTAGATAGTTATAAATAACCTCCGAATTGTCATTTTCTAAAGCAGTCAACAAAACGTAGTGATGGATCGGCGTTTTCTGCAACCAGAACAGTTTTTTGGCATTATGGGAAGAACAAAAATAATACATTTGTCGCAAATACACAACAAATGCCACAAAACATATCTTTTATTTAGGAAATCCAAATGCATTACTCATGCATAAATATTGTAATATAATTTGTCATTTAACCACTAGCTCTGAATATGTGATGACTATTATTTCACATTATGTTTAAGAACCCACAGTTTCTGTTATCGCAGAAATGTAGTTTCATTAGTTTTTTTATGACTGAATCCACCAGAACCAAGCCTATATTGATAATATATGGGAGAGCTGTACATGTCTGCTATAATGAGGTAATCATGTTCAGGTGTTTTGTACACTTTGTTTCAAACAGCCATTATTTTTCAAAATTACTTAAATAAAGAATGACAATACAGCAAATTCTATGGTTTGCTAGTGTGAGCTTTCAATCTAGTAGGACGTGGAATTTACACAAAGAAAGTAAACTGCATTACTACATTAACGGCTTAACATGTATTTATATTTCACTTTCACACAGTACCATAACATATGATCTGGCAATTCTATCTCGATAGGGAACCTTGTATCCTGCTGTCCTGGTTCTTGGGTTATTCGAGTAAATATCTAACAATAGGAAAATAAATCTGTCTCTTTGCTAATTCATATTATTACCTAGTTTAACATAAATTTAGATAGATTCCGATAAAAACACATTGGATTATTTTAATTAAAAAATACTATAAATTTAGTGAATTACCCTATGAGTATGATTGCTACATATTAAATGAAAACTATGGCATTAAAAATATAAATATGTATTCCTAACACTATAGTGACCTGCTAGCTGCTTAGATTACCTAACATCTAGGAGGCTTTCAGAGAAAATGGTAACACTTTGTTTAAGTGGTCTTAAATATGACCAATGCTGCACCATTAAAATACATTTTTATAATTGAGTTTGAAATAGCCTACATTATTACACATAAATACAGCAGCATTAAAATAGCAATTACTATGTCAGCAAAAAAGGTGTCCTGATAACACAGGGTTCTGAGGTTTACAGTATCTCTGCATTCTTTAAGATCTCAATAGACAAAATAAATATATGATGGGAGTAACAGTAGCAGGGGATTGAGGAGCAGATCCTAAAATTAAAATAAAAGCTATTTGTTTTATGTCTGCAAAAGAGGAAGTAAGGGAATTTCCTGAACGGTATCAGAATATAATGGAATTGACTCCAAAAATAAGCAATAAAGCTTGGAAGTGGTATGGGATAAAATGAATAGCCACAGTGCCCACTGTACATCCTAGCAACCACATCTCACAATGCATAGCAACCATCCTATTTTGCCACTGTGATCAATATTCACGCAACATTGGCACAAATGAACAAACAGCTCTGCAAATATTAATCTGAAATGTGCGGCTCAAGAACATAAACTCTGAATTACATGGATTGTCTGTGCTACATATGCGGGACCTAAAGAGACCCATATTCCACATATTGTATTTTACAACAATTTCTAAATCTGTCTCTGAGTTGTATACTGGCCACAGAGCAGAACAACCAGACCTCTTCATACCCTATGAAGAAAGATGTGAGTTCTGGTCTACAGCATCTTGAGAACAGGTGTATCCCTTATTGCCCATTGGATGGTTGGATGCCTCCAGGGAGAAATTACAGTTCTACTTTAAAGGCTATCCTTAAAGTAATGGCAACAGTGACCATTTAGAGAACTATAAAATTATATGTAGAAATTTTGGTACCTACCTATTTTCAATTTTAGCATTTTGGGTACTGAGCACTGAACAGCAGGCATATGGATACATAAAAGATGCAATTGTGTAAGTTTTTTTGTTGTTTTTTTTTCGTCTTCTTGCCCCTTCCCTTCAGCCATCACTTGTGAAGACTGAAAGGAACTGGCATCTTCTTGCACAATACACAATCAACAATTATGACACTGCCCATCCACAAGATTACATATGGGGGATCCTGCAGTCTTTCAGAATGTTCCCTATCTTCAATTCTCTTTCATGTACCACAGTACACCTGTGAAACTGCTCTTGACACATGAGGGCCACCAGGATCTGAAGTTAGTGTTGAGTTGGAAGACTGCAGCATTGAGGAAAAAGAGTTTCATGCAATTCTATCTCCCTTGTCACCCAGACTCCACCATGATCAGATATATCACCACTGTGGTAATGTTGACAATGCTCTCTTACTTTTATGGCTTCTTGTAGCAGTAAAAAGTATAACTGGTAATTTCCACAACTTTTACTTGCATAGAAATACTTTTATAATACTGTTTTTATTTAAAAAATAATTTAACAAGGTTTAAAAAATATATTTTATAAACTTGTTGCATATTAGACTATATTTGTATCCATTATGATCTTAAAAAAAAAGAAAAAAAAAGTAACATTATTTGGAAAGCTTTTAAGCTTCAGGGAGAAATGTTCTGCAAAAGCTGAGCCTCACCCCCTCATGACATCACTGGATGTAATGCTTTCATTCTGAATGACTGTAGCTCAACCAAAATATTTGTCATTGGTATGAATGGGTGTAAAAACAGGCTCAAGGTGTGACTTCAGAAAAGGGGAAAAGATCTTTAACAAAAATGTCTCTTATTTATAGCGGAAAGTGACTCAATCTTCCAATTAAAAAATAATATTGTGGATAACACCTTCAGTATCAAGCAATTTTTGTTTTAAAACTAATAGAATACAATATGTACATGTATAATGAGCTCATAAGCTTTGGTTTTATTTTTAGGTTTTGGTAAAATATTGGTTTTTTTTGCACTTACATGTAGGATAAAATTAATACAGTTATATATTTATACAATCAGTCAGATCTATAGTCATAATAAGAACTGATCTACACAAAATATCTCACCAGAACTATAATCCCAATTTCCTTAAATTTATTAAAGGCAACGTAGTCGTCAAGACAATGCAAATAGATATATTTTTGGCAGGAAAGTGTCTCAGTTTTCTCAACTGCATCCTGTGCTCCCTATTTTTTTAAGGAAACAATATGCACATCATATAAATCCATGCATATTATTGGTTAATGAGATTTGCACTACAGCTCTCATTAGGGGGTTATACCTAGAGTGATTGCAGATTGCAGCTTACTGTTGAAGCTTAAATAAACAGAATAGAGGGGAGGACATGAACTAATTGTAGTATGAAAGAATTTTAAATTCTAGAAAAACTTAGATATCACTACCTGCTCATCCACACAGGCTATATATATTGCTTCTCTAAACTCTACAAGAACGACCAAAAAAAACCCAGAACTAGTTAAAGGAAGAAAAAAAAATTCTTAAACCACAGTACCATGATAAGGTTCTGCTTGGCAGGAAAACAGCATTATATCCTGTTAAACTGAGACTGTATTTACTCAAACTGCAGGGGCCAATCTGATAGCTTCAGCAGCAGTAGGATTCAAAGGACTAGCTATACTAAATCTTTAGGGGCAAC